GGCTTTTGATTCTCCGCGGCGAAAACGCCTGGAAAAAGGCTGAAGGCCGGGGCCGGAGGGAGCACCGCGAAAGCGGGAGACCGGCTGTTCTTTCGGCGGGTCTCTAGCCGAAGCTTGTTTCATTAAACTATTAAGCGTTATGCAACGTTTGTACAGCTTAATTACAACTTTTTGAAACAAGCCGAGCGCAACCTTCTCGTGGCAATAAAACATGACGAGGCACGAAAGATGGTTCAATACTTTCTGCTTAATAGCTTGTTAGGCATGAGGCTAGAGGCCGAGAGCTCGTGACTGCACAGCAAGGTGTGAATTATTGCACCATAATTCTCGCCCTGGAGTGCTTTATTGCAATTAATAACTGTTTTCATGTTTTAAATGCATTTTCTCGCACCGTAAAAAGCAAAAATGGAAAGTACTCGCTAATGGGAGAAATACCGGGAGGACTAGGCACAGATCACCAACTGGAGCAACTTCCTTGGTTTCGTGCTATTTTGATCCGCTTTTAAATGATTTTGGAATCCTGTTTGGCTTTAAAACGGCGTGGGCCCGAAGCCCTGTTATTTCCCTTTGTTGAAGTAGCTCTCCCTGCAAATCTCTTCACAGATATTCTGAGTTGGGAAGCGACTCCCATTTATTCGCAGCATATTTTCACCAAATTAACTCCAGCCACACAAAGCCACACATTCAGTTCCCCATGCCAAGCTGCTAACTTCCAAGATGTGCACCTCTTTATTTTGAAACCAGAAAAGAGGTGGATTCGCAAAGAGTTTGTTGCTTTTCTGTGTAGCCTAGTCCTGTGGCAAATTTGAACCCATTCCAGTTTAATTTAGGGTAACCTGAAAGCTGAAGAAAAGCAGATATCACAAAAATAAAATGCTCTTTGAGGCCCCTGATCCAGATCCTACTGAAGCTGCTGGAAATGCAAACCTTGCCTTTACTGGGAGCTGAGTCTGCCTCTTGATACTGAAATGGTGCCATAAAAATGCTATTGCAGTGATACTTTTCTCCGCTTGTTATTAAAAAACTGTGAAGGTGATGCCTGGGGTTAGTCAAGCAGATATCACAAAAATAAAATGCTCTTTGAGGCCCCTGATCCAGATCCTACTGAAGCTGCTGGAAATGCAAACCTTGCCTTTACTGGGAGCTGAGTCTGCCTCTTGATACTGAAATGGTGCCATAAAAATGCTATTGCAGTGATACTTTTCTCCGCTTGTTATTAAAAAACTGTGAAGGTGATGCCTGGGGTTAGTCAGCACAACCTGCTTTAATATGCGTACATAATAATGCACTCTATTAACATCAGTGAATAGATGGCAACGTGTTAACCAGTTGATGTCAAAAAAATGCTCTTTGAGGCCCCTGATCCAGATCCTACTGAAGCTGCTGGAAATGCAAACCTTGCCTTTACTGGGAGCTGAGTCTGCCTCTTGATACTGAAATGGTGCCATAAAAATGCTATTGCAGTGATACTTTTCTCCGCTTGTTATTAAAAAACTGTGAAGGTGATGCCTGGGGTTAGTCAGCACAACCTGCTTTAATATGCGTACATAACATAATGCACTCTATTAACATCAGTGAATAGATGGCAACGTGTTAACCAGTCTGATGTCAAAAAGCCAATCTTTAAGAGCAAATACGGGGATTGGGAATACAGGTACCAAGACGGAAAATTGATTAGTAGTTTGAACTTTCACTTAAGAAAGACTTAATGGGATGAGGAGATTAATAACGGGGGTCTCTCGGGCTGTCTCTCACTGTTTCAAGTACCTCAGAGGTCAGTAATAACAGCAAATGGACGAGGCAGGTCAGATACCTTGGTAGTCTCTTTCTGGATGTTACTAGACACGTACTTGGTCCGTTACCGGTTTCTAGTCTGGACACAGCACAAAGCTAAATCTAGTAGCACGAAAAGAAAGAAACCGTATTTCAGTTTCGTCTTGTCAGTGTTTAGCAAATCCGTGACAAGGTCTTGCTTCCTCTTCTGCCACTGAGGCGGCTGCTGCAGCTTTTTCTGCACCTTCTTACTGTTGTTCATGTGTTTATTGCACTTGGGACTGTTTTATGGACCAGGATCCCATGCGTGCTGGGCAAGGTACAGGACAAAACCACGTCTCCTGTCCTGAAAAGCCAGCAGTGTAAGAAACAGGAGAAAAGTGGCAGACAGAGCTGCTCCACCACGCAATGACAGTTTGTGACAGGAGAAAACAGACAATACGTTCTCTCCTTTCAGCCTGAAAAACAAGGATGGGTGGCAGCACCCCCTTCACACACATCCAGATCGCTCTGAAGTCAGACTTTTCCCCTCTCCTCTGCAGTGCCAAGACCTAAGGACAGAGCACCTGAAAGCAGGTGATAAAACATTTCCAGCCAAAGGGGTTCAGTGGCTTCTGCAGTGGCAGTGTTGAACAGAGCCCTTGAGAGAGAGGTGGCAGAGGGGAGGCTCTGTCACCTGTGGCGTCAGCCCTGGCAGAGCACATCGGGGCTCCCCAGGCAGGAGGACTAGCCGAGGGAGTTTCTGTCCCTGGGCTGGGATCCCTCCAGCGCACGTATCATGAATCTGGTACTCGGCCTCATTGCTGAACTGAAATCAATGGGACTGCGTGCTGAAATAAGGGAGTAATGATTTAATTAACCCCATTTTAGAACTGAAACACACAGTGTCGTACCATTACAGTGCTTGCTCTGCCGATGCTTTGTGGTATTTATCCTAATGCTACCCCTGGAGACTGAATTCCCTCATCTGTCCCCCTGTCATCTTTAATAAACACTGACCATACATTAACAATGAGATGATGTTGTAATTCAGACTAAGACAGGCTTTGTGCCTATGTCTTTTTGTTTGTTTCTACTGAAGTCCATTTAATCCAATTGGATGTTGCTTTTAAAACAGCATGAGTCAACTGGATTTATTTTTAAGGAAGTCTGCCTGAAAAAAAATTAAATATTAATAATATCTGAATTTGAATATGTTACTCAGCAGAAAAATCTTTACAAGACTTCAGTTTATTCTGCAAGTGACTTCATTAGTTATTTTTTAAAAGCTTGGAGTTTTGTATAAATCTTCCCTTTTAAACAGATGAAACAAACAAAATGTAAAACTTATCTCCATAATGCACAACAAAATAATAATTTCCAGATGGGCTTTCTAATGGAAGATTGAAGTCCTTCATCTCAGACTTGGGAAATTTCCCTTCCGTGCTGATGTCAGTTTTATCTGAATGCAGTTCATCCAACATTTGCTTTTTCAAAAAGGCAACTAGCTAGATGAAGCTGCAGCAAAATGCTCTTAGAGCTGAAGAAAATAGAAAAGATTTTACTAACAATAGTAATAAAAATCTGGGTAGGTAAGGGGGGGGGGGAATCTTTCTCACTTTGATTTATACAAAAATTAGGCATTTCTATACACTGAAAAATGCCAGCTTCACATGCAAAGATGAAATAAGCAGAAAGGAGTTGTTTCTGCATTGGTGCAGCTGGTTTGGACAAATTCCCTGCCATGCATCTCTGATTTCAAACGTCAGCCAAACTAGTCGTGTGGCTAGAAAATAACAGGTCAGTGTTTTTCCGTAAATGTTTTATGCGTCTGTGCATTTTGAGATTTTGCTTCCAAGAAGCAGCAATTTCTACAGAAAGCCTGTACTTGTAGGGTGTCTGCATTTTCAGCTTATCAGTGCCATAGAGTTTGTGTAAGGCTTTCTGTTTCTGAAATTCAACCACTGCTAGTAGATGTACCCATCACTCTGAATTGTATTTTTGTGTTTCAGCATATACAAAATAGATGTACAAAATACCTCTTCATTTCATTAAGCCTGGGATTTTCAAAAGACTGAGGAAGTCAAATTCCCCAGTCCTCTTCACCCACGTAGGAGTCTGCCTTCTGGAGGACACTAGTTTCACTCTCCATCTCTGTCTCCCACAAACATAAGCGCGCGCGCGCGCACACACACACTTTCATCTTGTTTTTCTCTCTCTACTTAACACGCTTGCACAGGAACACTCACAGTTCAGTATTTTTGTCTCCTTGGTGCCATGCAAGACATGCCTTTTTGGCTAAAAGGGCCGCGAACACACAGCCCGAAATACTAATGCATCTCAGCAATGAATAGTCTTTCACCTTGGAAAGCTTAATCTGCTTTTCCCTGCCCGCTTTTCCCTGCCCACCGTCAAAAAGCTTCACAAGAAAAAATCAACCGATCAAAACTCACAGATGCACAAATAATATTTTAGAAAGCAATTCATCTGAAGGTCTCTTGACAAAGGGGATTATGGAACTGAAATGTAATTGTCTTGGCATTTAAGTTTCTATTTCCACCATGTGGTTTGGTTCACATATTTGATTGCAAAGTTTTATCATTCAAAACAGCCTATAGGTCTCTTTTTCCTTGCAGACACAAGGCAAGTACAGCCATCCCCGCCATGGTCCTACGACCAGTCCTACCAGTACCTGGGCTCCATTGCCACCCCCTCTGTGCACCCTGCCACGCCAATATCACCTGGCAGGGCTAGCGGCATGACATCCCTCACCGCAGAGCTTTCAAGCCGGCTGTCAAGTAAGTACCTAAAAGTTAGTCCCCCCGCCCCAGGCCTCACCGAAGCCTCGAGACTGACTCCAATGCAAACCGGTTGCAATGTCCTAGGGTGCTGCCGCAGCTTTTCTCCGGTTGCAGTGAAGCCTATTGCGGGCCCTCTGCAGCAAGCCTTCTCCAACGCTTTGCTGGGATTTGTGCAAAGAGTAAAGAAATATGGTTTGGGGCCCAACATATCATTGTCAAAAAAGAAAAAAAAAGAGGAGAAAGCAGCACTTTGAAGATGTATGGAACTATAAAAATAGTTCGGAGTTGCTGAAGAGCTATCGTATCTGCCAAGAAATGAATGCCACAGATATTTCAGTTCTGTTTCCTTCCCTCGCTCTAAATTCAGACCAGAGCACAGTAGGTTATGGGTGGACACACTGACTGCAGGATGGTGGGGTTTGACATTTTAAGTGTTGCACTGGATTGTCTTGTTACATCTTCGTCAAATTGTACTGCAGAGCTTTACAAGCCAACGTAAAAATATAGCATGGAAGTGACAGCTACCCCCCTGGTTTCCACTATACTCAGCTGACCATCTGCTGACTCTAACCCACACATATTGAACCAATATGTGTGTGTTCAATAGCAGGAATTTTCTTAAAATGAATGAGAGCCATATAATTCAGATTTGCACACCACTTTTTAAAAAGTATCTTCTTTGGCCGCACATATTGCTCTCATTTGAATACTCGGGGCTTCTTCTAAGGTCGGAGAGAATGACTTGAACGTGCTCCAGCCTGTCCTATTTTGTCATATAGAGCCTGCTTTGAAAGAGTTACAGCGACAATGCCCACCAAAAGTAAATTATTTGTTAGGTCTGGGTGCTAATTAAATCTTAGAGATAGCTGAAAATACAAGAAACCTTTCAGAAAGAAAAAAAAAAAAAGGAAATTTCTTGTTTTAAAAAAGTCTATAAAATCCTCATTTTTCATTGACATGCTCTTCTTTTAAAATGAAAAGACTCCTTTTTACTTTCTCCCCTGTGTTTCCCTCCCTTTGCACTGCTTTCCACTGGCAAAATGCAGAAACAGAGAAGGATGAAAAAGATTTCAAGTAAAACAAATTATTTCATCAAGTTTTTTACTTAGAAAAGTATTTTTTCTTGACAGAATTGTTTGAAATTAATATTTACCAGCTATTTTGACTTTCAAACCCTATACAGGGGTGCCTGGTGCATGTGCACATGTAGGTATGGATACGTGAATCAGGCTGAATGGAGATGTTAATCACATTTTACCTTTACCAGTGTGGCGACTGAGGTGGCACACAAATGAGTGAATGCACTCAGTATTGAAATGCAATATTTTTTTGCATTGCCGTAGTGCCCAAATGTCATCCTTGTGTATCAGGGCCCTTATCGTGCTGTGCGCGGTATGAGCACCAAAGGCTTCCATGGTGGCTGCCCCCAGGAGTGCACAGTCTAACAGAAGATAGCCGTGTACGCGTGGAGTAACTCCACGTTGTGTTTCTTTTGTGGCACATGGTGAGCATGGAGGTAGAGCACCAGCACCAGGGCTTGTCGGTGCTTTTTGTGCCCGTGGTCAAAGTGATTTACCTAGGGGCAGGCATAGTTTCTCCATGATTTGTGAAGGAACCTAGAAGAGCTTCGTTCACATGTCAGCATTCTTTCTTTCCCATCTTAATTCTGTACGTGGGGGCTAATCTCTACACATCTTAATTGTTTTTTATAATGCTTCTGAAATGTTACTTCTATGTTAAATGTCATTCGGTATTCTCAGAAAAATCTTTCACAATATTTTCTCCCCAATCCCATTGCTGTCACACACACTTGCTGTCTATCTAAGAAATTTCTCCTTGTCAGAACAAAGAGACAATTTGAGGGTCTTTTTAGGCCCTACCATCTAAAGACACGGTGCCTTAGAATAAAAAGCAAAGATATGGGACATACTTGAAACACCTTGACATTAAGTCTTATTACTCTGCTTTTTGCCAAACTGGGCAGAAGAAACCCTCATCTGATAAGCAATGTTTCCAGGCAGTTTCAAGAAGTTTGATTTCTTTCTCAGGAATGAGGTGTGGAAGTACCATTTGAAATCTGGCAGGTTGTCAGTTGCCACCTTCAACCTTAGCTACTCTGAAGCTCCTGCCATTCCATACCATAGCGTATCTTGCCATGTTAAATCTAAAGGTGCCAGGGTCTAGGGGAAGGAAATGTGTTCAGGGGTCCCATTAATCTTCCAGAAAAAAATGGAAGGGAAACTCAAAAAGGAAGCATACAGCATGCGTCACAGCTTTTCTAAGAAATCTATAGAAATTCATCAGTGTGCTGGCTGTGTCGTTGACAAGCTTTCAGAACTTGGCGTTGGAGTATGTCTGCTCTAGCTTTAAATCTGGTCAGAGCCAAGAGCTTTGTTTTCTTTCTGCTTCTTCTCATGAGTATTTCCTTCAGCGCATGGCTCCTCTTTTGCAGACTCCACGTCTTGTCTGACAGGAGAAGTTGTCTTCTGGAAAGATTTTTTCTTAATTATTATTGTTGTTATTTTAATCATGCATAGCTGCCAACTCTAGGGACTGACACCTTCCATTAATCTGAGTCATGATGAAGATCCTTCCTAAAGAGGCCATTATCTGCTCCGCTTGTTTAATCCTTGCACACCAGGGAAGGAGACGATGAGACCGGGCATACTTCCACTGATGTCAGACAAAGCAGAGCAGAATTTGACTGTCCTATAAAACATTTCACTTAGCAGGATGAGAAAGGCTTCTAGCACACATGAAAGGAAGAAAAAAGGCCAACCCCCAAATATATCATTCTGCTTTGTCCTTTTTTACATACTCATTAAAGCCAAGATTTTCAGAAGTTAGTAACAATTATGTAGACATTATATGAGGACCCAGATACGAAGACCTTAAGTGAACCTGATTTATCTTGACTTTGGTAGTGTTGAGAGTCAATGGGGAACTGTGCTCCTAAGTGCTGACAGCTGGGCTGAGCCTGTGTGTGTAAATCCCGCCTGTGCAGATTCGTGTACCCGAACCACAATCTCTGCACCATGGAGCTTCTCATTTGAGTCGGCAAATAAAACTGGGTGCAAGGAGAGACTATGCAGAAGCTGGACAATTTATATTTAGGCCCCATGGTGAGTCAAGTGATGCTGGGCAAGGAGCTTGAGATCTGTGTCCCTGCTCCCCA